ATCTTCCGAAACTGACGATGACGACTACGACTCGGACGACTCAGATGATGAGTGAGAGATCGCACATAGAGAACGGTGACAGACTGCGTATTAGGTACACTCGCAACCGTATTGGTAAAGTGCCCTTGAAATGGTATCTCGAAAATCACGACCACATCGGCTATGATATTTCTGGCAAAAAGATTGCCCGCACTGTGAAGACTTCCGAGATAGATACTTTGCTCAGAGCGGTAGTGTGATCACGTTGGCGATCTCTATTATCAATACACCCTTTATACTTTATACTTTTATACATGGGGGTTTTTTTAATACCCCTTTACACACATTATATGGGCTATATTATGATTTATAACATGCTTCATATATCTAAGATTATTACTGGATTGTGAATCAATTCATAAGTAGTGTGGGAGGGCGTGTTGATGATCAGGCCGAGGATCCTGATGCTTGGCGTACCATCACTGACATCAAGAATGACCGGGAAATCAAACTCACCGACACCGACCTTAGAATAATACAGTGAGTGCTAGCCGACCTATATCGTGCTAGACTTGCCTCAGACGCATACGGAAGGGCTTCTTCCCTACTGGTCGTGGCGACGGTGATGAGGATGAGGAATTCCAAGTAGGCTGCTCAGGGTGGGGAGGGGGTGGAGATATGCACATGTCCATCTACGTGTGTTGGTGACAATATGAAAATTGTCGGGAAACCTTGTTGGTTTCTGTACACTTCTACCCGGATTTCCCGTGCTCAGTTGAGAAACCATTAATATTTTCCGCTCTTGAGGCTGCTGGTGTCGTTTTTACGAGTTTATGATGACAGGTCGAGTACGAAGATCGCATCGAGGACAAGATTCATCCGCTGAGAACCCGTTACCCGTCGAAGAAGTCCTTCATGCCAGACCAGGACGAGGCTCGGAAGGTCAAGAGGTTGATAAAGCTGATAAGGGCTGGTATCATCAAGCCTAAGGAGGAGAGGCCTGGGAAGGAGGAGGAAGTGATTTCATACCACTCCTTGAGTGAATCTAATTTCGTGGTGCGATCTCAGGAGGAAGTGTTTGACGCTTGGGCTGACGAGGAAGAGGGAGATGAGGGTAGAAAGCTGAAGGGTAATTTATTCGCATTTCATTGTCGGAGTTTTCGCAAATCCGTCTCAGGTCCAGCGCCAATACCGGCACCGAAACAGGCCTTGCCTACTCATGGTGAGAGTTATAACCCTCCTGAGGAGTACCTCTTTGATGACGTAAGGACT